AATCACTGATGAAAACCTATTTCTGTGAATAATCTTGTGTAAAATACTCTCCAATCCTACACACCTCATAGGCATAAAACACTCCTCTTCTTCAATATTTGCTCTTGTTTCTTACCAATCCTAAATTTGTTTCTGCCTTGTCAGAAGCGAAAGGCAAGCTATGTTCTCTTCTCCCTGGAAACTTATAATAACATGATAAAAAATAGATCTAAGTCAAATTTCTGAGAACTAGTTGAAAATCACGAGCAAGTGAACACTTAAAATTTCCCTCCAGGATATTTGTCTCCTTATAAAAAACACCATTTATTTTTATTTAGAGACAATATAATCTCAAATGTGGTAACAATCAAGTAAACTAACATTATCCAACACACAGCAGAGGAATTGCCTGGGTGCCAAAATTGTTTTGCCCTTGAGTGACATTAATTCATTTATTTAGAAGGCTAGCAAATGAAAGAAAGGAAATAATGTACAGCTCCGTACAGAAATCTATTCACAAGCCAAGAAAGAAAAAATCTAATCCTGGACTTCATAGTGCACAGAGCTTGGCTTTTCCAAATAGATCTCTAAATATCCTAATTCTATGGTTTCCCTCCTTTGGCCTGGAACACAATCAAATCCAATTAATGGGGAGATTTCATCACAGAAATTAAAAATAAATTAGCAACAAGTCAAAAAGCAAAAAAGAAACCCAAGAATTTAGAGCCATTTCCGATGAAGTTCCTTTTCAGTACTTCCTTGAATCAAAAACCTAACCATGACGGTCTTAAAAGTAGAAAAAGATTCATCCATTTGCCAAGCCTCAGTACTTACTCATTGATTAAGTGGGTGGGAAAGAAAATACACATACCAACTTTTCCCACTGATGTAGTGAAGCAGACATTCTTGGCATATCAACCTAATGAAACAAAACTTATGAGCCTGCTCTTTAGTCAAGAAACAAGAGACTCATGATTCATGACCAACGATCCTCCGAGAATCAAATGGAGTTAGTTATACTTCCAAAATAAAATTATTCTATAATTTGGGGGGGGGCTGGTAAAGTAGTTGGATAAGGACAAATAAGAGGAAAAAACACTGGCTTAACATAAGATGCTATCTATATACAAGGGCCAAGTCCATCGGCCCTCCCTGAAAAAGAAAAATCAGGGAAAGGGTTTTGACAACTGGCTAAAGTCCACTTCCCAGATACACTTAGAGCTCTAAGGCATGACATGAACAACAGAAGGAAACCTGACTAGCCAGCCTCACACAGTGAGCAAGCAATTCTGCACTGCTGTTTCCAAAGTCGCTCACCCACCCCTCCCCAGGAGGTGGAGGGCATGAAGGCCAGTCTCACATTAAAGTTGAGTACAAAGCCTCTGGATACCACTTTGCTAGTCCCTAATGACAAGCCTACTTTCTCTGCTTCTGGCACACAGTTCTGTCTTATGGCACAGTATATATCATGAGTTGGGCTTTTTTTTTTTTTTTTTTTTGGTGCACAGTTGGTATTTTTGAGACAAGGTTTTGCCAAAAAGTTCAAGCTGGCCATCAATTCACTACGTAGCCCAGATTAGCCTCAAACTCAGGACAATCCTCCTGCTTCAGCCTGCTGAATGTTGGAATCATAGGCGTGCACCACCACAGCCAACCAGCTTCTTCATTTTGCAAGGTGGTTCAGATCTCAAGAATCATTCTAGAGACTCTAGCCCACTTCAATTCTCTTCCTTCTCTATCGATCACTTAATTTTCTTCAGGTGTCATAATATGGACTAATAGAAAACTGAAGAACAAATCATTCAAAAAAACTTAAAAAGTATCTACCTCTCATGAATATGTAAATATGCATAAAAGTTCTATTGCACTCCCAGGGGCCTTTGAGAAAAAAAGTCTTAAAGATAAAAGAAATGGAATCCTAACTATCAAAAGTGAAAGACAGATTCCCAGTTACAGAACTGTAGAAGAGGAAAGGTTTAGAGACAATGTTATGAAACTGCATTGTCACAAGCAGGTAAAAGGGAGGCATAGAATGTTCAATAAAAGTACACAGATTCACTCAGGATAGTGAAGTCCTAAACCTCTGCTGAGTTCCAAGACGAATAATTGAGCTGGGTTTTAAAAACATGGACTATCAGAACTGAAACAAAATATCCACACTCGGTAAACTCGGTAAGGTAATCCTTTGCCATGGGAGCGCTCCATGTGCTGTGGGATGTGTGGCAGAATCCCCAGCCTCTACCAAATAGGTGTCTTAGTGTCCTCCAGCTGTAATAATAAAAAAGGTCACGGGAAAAACCAAAAACAATGCAGTTACATCATGCACAGGCACAAATTCCCTACACTGAATGTGATCATTACAAATATCTAAAATGTAATGTGGAATAAGATGCTATTTAATTTTGTTCTTCCATAGCTGATTTTTCAATGTATATGCCTTAATGATTTTTTTCTTTACAATAAGTTTTGGACAATTTCATTTTTGTGTATCAGGGTACGATTTCATTCAAATTTCTTGTGCAAAAGGTTCATTTTTCTTAGAAGTGTGGTGTTATAAGTTTAAACTCAGAAATTTTAAATCTTTAAATATTTATTGCCTACGTCTTTCTACTTTAAGAATTCTAATTATATGAATATAAGTTTCTTGATTTTGACATAGTGAACTATTATATGACTGATCTGTAAATTCTTCATTTTTATTTTGGGCAATTTTTATTGTT